AGATCACATGCTATTTAACTGAGTTCACATAATCAGCATGGTGCATTTTCATTAATTCTGCTAGTTTAAATGAAAAAAAAATGAAGGCAATTCTACAAAATATCCTGCCAAATGGGCACATAGATAAAGGTATGTGGACTTGTTTAAAATGTAACTCCATATTCTAGTAATCTAATTCAGTAAAGATTTTCCAGAAGGGTTTACTACGTGCCAGCTACTTGTTTGACCACTGGGCTAAGCTGAATCTGACAATTAAAGTACTTAAACATATTGGGGAAATGCATTCCTATCCACATGACATATTCTCTCCACTGCTCACACTAAGCCTGCCATGGTTACTTCTCATTTCTACCTTTCCTCCCACTTGAATTCTACTCACAGGACCTGAGTGAGTCTCTTAAAGGTAAGTCATATCATGGCACTCTTTCTGCTTAGTAAAATTTTTATGTCCTGAACAACTCCAATGACCTGACTTTGACTGACATCTCTAATTACCTCCCTTACTTAACTCAGACTTGGCTACTTTACTGTTTTCTAGAATGTTCTAAGCCCACTTCCACCTCAGACTCTGTTTCTTGCTTCCTATGCCTGCTCTCCTTCACTTGACACCACTGCGATTTGCTCTGTCACTGTCTTTAGATTGCTGCTCAAAGGACATCAAGTCCTTTACTGACCACCTGACATTCTCTGTCCCACCTTACCCTGCTTTACTTTCATACAAGCATTTGTTCAATACAATACGTACTACTGCTGGAATTTACCTGTTTGTAATTTGCCTGTTTAACAATATTGGAAACTCCTCATAAGGAAGATCTGTGTGTTTGCTTCTGTTTTTCCAGCACCAAAATGCTGATGGGCATGTGGTCAGTGCTCAACACATGCTTTTTGAATACATTAATATTAGTTATGCATAGAGTTTAGGGGAACAACAAGAAGGGTACATGACATGTCCTGGAAAGAAGAGGGGAAATCAGAAGAGTTTTTAAGGAGGTAATATTTGGGCTGAATTTTCATTCATTTTTTTAAGGAAGAAATTTATTCATTCAACAAATTTCTGTGGACTCCTATGTACTTGGCACTATTCTATGCTTCTATTCTTGCAGAACTTTCAGTCTAATGGGATTAAAAAGAAGAAGCAAGCAAATGCATAAGTAAACAACAAAAAAACCTTACACACATGCAATGCAAGTAGCTAGACTAGTACAAGGTCAATGAGAGCAACAAAGTGGTGGTTTTACATTGAGGCATCAAGGAAGCATTTCTAGAAGGAACATTTCAATGGGGGCCCAAGGGACAAAAAGAAAGCAGCCACACGAAGATAAAGGGTTTGTATAAGTCAGGTTTGGTGGTGTGCGCCTATAAGCCCAACTACTTGCGAGACTGAGGCAGGAAAATAGCAACTTTTAACCCAGCCTGAGCAACTTGCAAGACTTGTTTCAACATATAAATGAATGAATGAATGAATGAACAGGCTGGTGATGTAGCTCAGGGTTTTCTAGGCTCAATCCTTGATACCATACACATAGAAAAAGTATATGTGGTAGCGATTATTCCTGACACACAGCATAAGCAGGGCAAAATTCCTAAGTGGAAAAGCCTAGACTATTCTGAGGGCCAAAAGCGACACTGTAGCTTGAGGGCAGTGGACAAGGAGGAGAGTACCACAACATGAGACCACACAGGAGAAGTCTACAGAGGGGTAGGCTCCAGAAGGCAAAGCAGGGAAAAGCCAGATGGGAAAACACTGCAGATGGAGAGAACAGCATAAGCAAAGGCAAGCAGGCGTAAAATAGATTGGTATGCTGATTACCTCAGAAATTTATTTTTCTTAGGTTCGATGCACAACCAAAGATAGAATCTGGAATACTGTGGGGTTAACTGGCTTCCCAGGAAGCTTTTGGCATCACATTTTGTTGCACTTGAGGAAAGAGAACTATCTTTCTGGAAAACATATCCTTAGAGAGAATATCTATAATTAATCTACCATAACAAGTACACTAAAATGTTCATCCTTAGAGGGCTCAGGTACATCTGAGCTCCTGTGAAACTTACCACTGGTAATCAAATGCAACTCTGCGCATTTTACTCTGAGCACCACCTCAGACATGTACGCTGTTACCAACCCTGGTTTAGACACTGCAGTGGAAGATGAGCAGGTTCACTCACTCTGGGACTCAGTTCCATATCTTCAGTGCCCCCTGCCATTGCTACAGCTGTCCAGCAACTTAGACACTGCATCAGTGCACCTGCCTGGAATGATTCTTACCATCTATTTATTTTACCAGCTTTGCTTTTCACAGTTTTCTTTTAGTTGTCTGTCTTTACCTGTGCCACCTCTAATTTCAAAAAGATATTTTTCATTTCTATCCGCTCAGCTAATCCTAGTCAGTACCATGTTTTATGGAGGCGGCTCTGTAGCTCAACAACTTCCTCCTTCTCCAGATAAAAATGATGCAAACCAAACAAACTCAAAGATGGGATTAACATGCTTGAATGCATTTCTTCTCCTTTGGTAACTGCATCCTCAAGGAGTGGCCAAGTCTTTCGGAATCTTAACAGATCTAAAGCTTTGTGACAATTGGAATCCTGTTATCAGTAGAACCAGATTCCTCAGAGAAGGTAGCGCTGAACTCATGACAAGGAATTTAATTTAGGTTCACAATTTATCAAATAAATAGTGGCTTATGGGTAACTATTTGATGTGTGTGTTTTAATGGCCAGCCACTGAATGACATTATGTGTTGAGACTGAAGCTACTTTAGGCATCACATCAGACATCATGAGGTACAGCAAATACATTTACCCCATGAGGCAACAAATCGAGAGTGAGATTTTCTTCCACTAACAATGGCGCATTTTGCAATCTTGCACCACAAACCTCTGCTGCATATTCACCCCATGACAAGGTGAATGTGTCATTGAAAGGTTATTCAAGAGTCAAGAATTTCATTGTAAATGAGGTTGAACAATTCTGAGTAAATAATATTATCTGTTGCAGAGCCATTTACTTTTTTGAGTTTTGGATGTACAAAATGCATATAATGCTCTCCAGTACTTTTATATCAGGTGGTAAACTCAATCATGTATAAAAATGCCAGACTTCATGAACTTCAGCAATGATGTGTGTAGTTACTGCCTTTGAAAGGCTGATATGTGCTCACACATACATACACATGATTATTTTTGGTAAATGGTAAAGTCCTGAAATGCTCAGAAAAAAGGATATTCGACAATGAATAAAAACTGAAAAGGCACAGCACACAGAAGGCCAGGACTTGCCAGGCTGCTGAAAGGAAATACTTTGAAAAGGTGGTCCTGATTTTAGATGCAAAACATTCCTAAAGACCACACCTTAAACACTCTCTTAAAATAGAAATTGTCAAAAAAACTAAACAAATACATTTGGAAGAAAAAGACGAGCCAGTATCAGGCAGGGTCCAAGAACCACAGCATAGAAGTATAAAACATCAACATTGAGAAAATATTTTATTTCAGTTTTCCAGTGTTTCTTTTTATTCATGCTTAAAGAAATGAAATATTTTATGGCTTAAAACTTATCTTCTATAACACTCAAGTTGTTAACAAGAAAGCCTTACTTATTCAGCTGACATAATTAAAAATTAGATTAGTATTAGAGTTACCTGAAATTCCAATCCGTAGTTTTCTCTACAGAATTCTCTCAGTTTAGGATACACATTTTCTCTTAGTGCCTGTCTTTCTGCTCCTGTATCTATAACAGAAAAGCAAACATATAGAAAGTGAGTATTACCCACACAAATATTTCTGGAAAAAGCCTGGACACTTAAATATTAATCAAGCTGGGGTTTGGCTGCTGGGATTATTCCACAGAAATCCACACAAGAAACCCACAGCATGGATAAGACCCCACCGATCAGGTTTGTGTGTTCCAGTGGCGCTGTGAACTCAGCATGGATTCTTTATGCCCACACAGGAGTTCATCTCAAACTCTGAAACAGTCCTGACCACACTGACTTTAGAGGAGGTATAAAGACACAGTGGAAGGCTATCAGGTGTTTTGGCTCCGTGAAGCATAAAAATTGCAACATACACTTGTTGACTGATTTAGTTATTGACTTACAAAAAATATCCAGACAGTATCATTATTTTCTAGAGTATTTAGAAATAATGAGATATTTACAAAACTCAGCACAGCATCCATGCAATCAGATCATCATTAGGGCAGACAAATTGTGGAAGCAAACATCAAAAAATCGCAGATCTCACCCCCTGTAAATTGAATGGGCCAAACGGTTTATTCAATACAGTAACATCTCCAACTTTGAGCTTAGGGATTTCATGCTAAATCAGAGAAAGGAACTGTTTTACACAAGCCACACCGTGTAAAGCTTCCAAAATAAAATATTTTTATTCCATCATTAAATAACACAAGAAGAAACAGAGAACCTGAAACCGGAACAGTAACAGAATTAACACCCATGTTTTTAATCTTGAACATTTTGCACAGAAAGGGATTCCATGACCTCCTGCGCTGAACAACAAGATTCTCGTGTGTCGGTGATGATACTCTAATATTCTTGGAGCCAACAGAGGTTGTTCCTTGCCCAACAACTTCAGTGAAACATGAGAAATATAATTTTCAAAAATTAGGTTAATATATCTCATGAAAATATCATTTTCTAAGTGCAATTCAATCCCAGCTATAGCTATGAAACTCCTGCATACCACATTTATAATAAAGGTAACAATTTATACGAATTTCCTTGTTATTTGCAAGCACATCTGTCTATGAAGAGTTGGCCATATGCTGTGTTGACCTACTCTACTTTCCTATTGTTCTCAAGCCTATTTTGAGAAGCAAACAACCACTCAGGAGAGTCTGAAATGCAACTGGCAGCCTGGCAGAGGGGCAGGATCCAGTGTTTACATGGGAATGAAAGAGTTAGAGACACAGAAGGTCATCAGATTACCCTGTGACCTAATAATAGGTCTTCCTCCACCTTAGATCCAAAGTGATCTGAGTCCACAGGGAAAGCAGGAGGAGAAAGGTAAGCAGGGGTCTGGAGTGTCATGGCACTGTCAGAGGCAGCATAGTAAGCTTTTATATAATTTATGTAATCTTGGGATCAGATGTCCATCCTCACTCACCTCATTTTAAAAGCTGAAGACATTAACTTCACAGTAAAGCTGATAATAGTCAATCTCTCTAAGAGACGTTAGCAGATTTTTTAAAACCCTAATAACAAAAAAAAGTCATTTAAAAATGAATACTACCATTTATAGAAATTGGAAGTATATTAAACAGGGATTAGTGTTATGAAATTCCAAAAAATTAGTATCTTATACATGAAGTAATTATAGAATGACATAAGGAACAGGAATTTGTTTCTTTTAAAATTTGTTATTGTAATTCTTAGTACTGGGTAGTAAAACCTGAGGTACAACAGTAAGGAGGAAAAGACAGAAGTATAGTACCCAATTAATGACATTTACTCAGTGCTTTCTATAGTCTTGTACTGTTCTAAGCACATCGATGTGTATGTTCTTAAGTCATATCTGATGACAACCCTATAAAATAGATGAAATTATTACTCTTTTTTTTTTTTTTTTGCAATACCAGAGATTGAACTCAGAACCTTGTGCTTGCAAGGCTGGCGTGGTGCCACTGAGCTAAATCCCGGGACCACTCTTTTTTTTTCTTTAATTAAAGGAAATTGAGGGTTAGAGGGGTCAAGAAACTTGTCCCAGATCATATGGACAAAGTTGGAGAACTCAGGCAGCCATGTGACGGACTGCTTTGCTTGGCCGCTGAAACACGCCACTGTGGAGTCAACCCCTAAAATCAATCAGTACAATAAGCCCATGTGACAGCAAAGGATTTGGGAGTCCTGAGTGTGTGAAATTTAAAAAAAAACTGAGTTAGAGATGGGACATAGTTCATCTGTAGAGAACCTGCCTAGCAGGTGAAGGAAGTCCTAGGTTCAATTCCTAGTATCACAAAAACACAAAACAAAACAAACAAATGATAGAAACTTGAGGATTCTTTTCTGTTATACACCCTTCAACAGCTATTAAGTTCTCTCACTGAACTTCTACACAAAGCCTGAATTAAGCTACCTCTCTCACCTCTGTTACAGGACCCAAGCCAGATGCCCCTCTCACTTGGGCCCTGCCCCGATTTCATGCTTGACTCTGAGTTCACTCAACAGGAAGCATTCTGGCAAATCTTTTCAAAAGGTAAGCCACAGCACATCACTGCTTTCTTTCAGACACTCATGGGATGTGGAGTGAAATCCACACTCCTTTCATGGAACGTTCTCCTTCTCTTCTCTCCAAGCTCATCTCCTACCCTTGTCCCTGTTCATGTCACCCCACTAGCACTGGGCTCAAGGTGAATCTTGCACTGCACTCTGCTCATGGGACTTTGCTTTCCCACTGTCTTCCTCCTTGAATGCTTGGTCCGGTGGTCTGTTCACAGGGTCTCTTTTCACATGAATGTCAGCTGCAATCCCAGGCCTTCCCTGAGTGTTTTAGCTATAGGAGTCACCGAACCACTGTCTACTTCCTTCTTTTAATGTTTGCACACTACTTATCACTATTGTTATTTATATACTGTCTCCTCCATGAAAATGTGAGCTAATAGAAGTTGGAACCTCCTTTTATCTCATTCACTGCTGCCTTCCTAATGATTAGTCATGTACAGTCAATGAGGGAATGAAAAATTCTATACCTGTGACAAAAGCGAGCTGGTGGGCAACGGTATGTTCCAATTACCTTTAGAATCAGAAGGGCTTCTTATGTTACAATTAGTCAATGAATGGTTTTTAAAGCAAGGCTATAGAATTCTGGAAAAAAATGGAGGGGTTGAGAAATTAGGTGTCATGAGGTAAACGAATGAATTGAAATACTGATTTTTATCCTGGTCTATGTGTCTCTGGCAGAATATGAATACAGTTTTGTCAAGTTATTTTGAACCTTTCTAAATACGTGAAGGAAGCACATGAACATATCTGATAGCATTCTGTGCTCTTATAAAAATGACTCAGATTTTCCTGTATTTGTATTAATATACAATGATGGGCTCCGGAAATGGAAAAGTAATTAGGATAGGATGGATTATGATAGGCGACAGATAAGCTGGCTTCATTAAATAAGAAAACCTTGATTCATACCAACAGCAAATCCGGATGGTTGGCAATTAAAGCATTTGAATGTCATGAACGGGAAACATTAGCTCATAGAACTTCACACATAAGGAGGAACCTCTTCAAGTGCGGAGCAGACAGGGTGCGTCATCATTTAGCTTTTATACACATGGTCATTACCTCAGTGCTTTGAAATAGTACATTAACACTTTGGCTGCACTCTTTGGTTTTAAAGAGTTGCTTTAGATTCCTTAGTGATTCTGCAGTTAATGAAGCTCTCTGTGCAGCTTCTGAATTATCCTGAGGAAGTACATTAGTTGGAGAGAATTATTAATCTAAAACATTATCCTTCAAACATCTTAATTTTGCTTCACAAAGGGTTTAGATTAATTCCAAATATTTATTAAAAATAAAAGAAAGTTGAAATGACCATGCTGGATAGGAACCTCATATAGCTCTTGCCTCACTCAAACTTAAAGCCATGGATGTTAAAGCCAATTTTCTAACCCTCTCAGCAGCGTAGAAGATCCATTTAAAATATACCAGGCATATCCTGCTAAAACTGCTATTCTAGCCTGGTCTCCCAGGTTTCTGTACATTTGCTCTTTCCTGGATTTTGTCTCCTTCCCTAGCTCCTCAGCTAGTGATTCATGTGGATACCTATCTGGTTCTTTTGGTTATTTAGATTAATTTCTTGTTTTTCAGCTTCCCCAAATGCTTCCTCTCCATGGACATCTGATAAATCCTCTCTATCTATCCAGTAAGCCACACTCCTTATTTCAGTGTCAGCAAATCTTGTCAAATTTATGTTATAAATATCTTTTGAGTTTAACCAACCTGCTTGGCATTCACCTTCTCAAATTTGAAGAAGTAGAAGTCTCCTGTTTTACCTGTTATCTGTTCTTCAGAATCAGTCTGGGGACTACAGAGCTCCTGGAGGTAAATTCTAAGACAAATCAAAAGTAAAAACTAATTTGGCCACTGAAGATCTTGCCAGCCTCTGGTGGTCCAGATGATAAAGGCCAGAATGATCAGCAGTTGTAAATACATCCACTTAAGTTCCACCTTCTACTGCTGTCAGCTGTGTGTCTTCTAAAGTCTGAGTCTTAAAATGATACTTGATCCCAAGCTTTGCCCTCCTTGCTTTCCATACTGAGGCTCCTAGCTACTACATCTCTTTTGACTTGCTAACTCCTAGCCTCTCTGTTGCAATTATAGGCAGTGTGCTTTGTGAACCCTTGCTGGGAAAGGCATGTCATGTCTAGGTCACCACACAACATTATGTCCACCTTGTATAACATCACATCTATTGTTGTTATGATTTATATCCGGATTCCACTCAAAGCCTCATGTGTTCAGAGGCAGGGCTTGTGGAAAGTGACTGGATTATGGGTCTCTATACTCACTTATGGATTAGTTAGCTGATGAGTTTATAGATAAATGTGGGGTTAGGAGGTAGGATCTGGTTGGAACAAACAGGTAACTGAGGGCGTAGCCTGACAGGGTGTGTCCTGCTTCCTGGCTGTCCTGAGGTGGGCAGCTTTTCTCCACCAGACCCTTCCACCAGGCCACTTTTTCCTGGAACCAGCTGATCATGCAAGGACCAAAACCTCTAAAAAACATGAACCAAAATAAACCTCTCCTCTGTTCAGTTGTAGGTCTCCGGTATTTTGTCCCAGTGACAAGAAAAACGATTAAGACAATTATAACTTTTTATATTAATTACTTTGAGTTTGTCTTCCCCACCAGACTGTGAATTCATGCAAAGTAGACTTTCTCATAAATCTTTACATCACAGAAATTAATGCACAGTGTAGAACATAAATAATACTTAATAAATGAATGAGCAAATAGATGCTATTATAGTTGAAACATTAATTAAACCAAACTAAAAATGTTGTCTACAAAAAGTTAATGTAAATGAAAATCCAATATCGTTTCCAAGTAATAGTTGATTATGTGGCAACGTTAGTATTCATGTGTGAATCCAGTTACAAAATATGTGATGGAGTAAGAGACTGTGAGAGCTTAGTGGGTCCTTTTCCAATATGGTTTAGATCTAAAATGTTCCCTAAAATCCTCACGCGTGTGGAAGGTAATTAGATCATGGATCCATCACTGAATGTGCTATTAGGTGTTGGGGTCTGTCTGGCAGAGCTGGGTCACTGGGGGTATGATATGGGAGGGTACATCTCCCTCCCTGGCTCCTCCCCTCACTCTCTGCATCCAGCCAAAATGAGGTAACCAGCTTTCCTCTTCCAGAGCCTTCCACCATGCAATTTTTGCCTTAAGCCAGGAGACTATGGAGTGAAAATGTGAGCTAAAATAAATCTCTCCTCCTATTAGTTGAAGGTGTCAGGTATTTTGTCACAGAGATGAGAAAATGACTGACACATCTCATCAATAAGGAATAATCGGACTCATCAATATTGTCAAAATAACCATTTTAATGTTCTGTTTATCAACCAAAGACTAAATGGATAAAACAAACTGAGAAGAGATGACTCTTGAAAAATATTAGAACTTTGGATAAAAGCAGAGAGTCTGTGGGATTCTGGCTTTGGCTTTTTCCATCCTCCTTTAATAAGAAATCCCTACCCGCACTTCTCTCTGACCCCAGCTCAAAGAAAAGCAATCTGTGAACATGTGACCACCAAAATCTTCATTGTTAAACAAGGCTTACTTGATTAGGACTTAAATTTGAAAGAACTCCATTAGTAGCAGCGGTGATCTCAGAGACAGACAAATGGACAAGCCCAATGGCTCACCTAGCCTGTGGCTTCATCTAAATTTAACAAGATCAAGGAAATAAATAGCCATGGACAACCTTAGCTGCAAATTTCTGGCTAATGGGAAGGTTACACACTAACATGAGAGTGACTAGAACCTGACATTGGGCACATTTACATGGGCATCTGGAACCTTGAGAAAACTTGGTAGGAAGTAAAGGTTGGAATAGATGCAGACACTGTCTAATCTTGCAATGCGTTACCCAACCCTCACAGATCCACAGGCAGAGAGTAGAAACCTTACTTCCTTCAGGTGTCTGAGAAGAAATTCTGGCAATCATTGACTGATCCTAGGGTATGAAAATTGTCTCTGAGTGGGTTCAGATTTTGGAAAGTCATCTGCAAACCAAATCAAGGAAATTATGTTTAAAGAATGAAGGAGAATGAACAGATTTCCCAGACACCTGTGAAACAGCAACTATACTGACATGAATATACCTGTGTGCATGAATGTGTGTGTAGAAAGCCTCATGAGGAGAGAAAAAATAAAAATAAGAAAATTTTGAAGAAACAGTTCCTAAATTTAAAAGATTATATCTATAAGAATTTTTAAAAACACAAATAGGATAAATAGAAGAAGACCTGTATTGGGACACATTCTGGATAAACTGTTGAAACCAAGATAAAGAGAAGAGTGAATTATTACACAGAGAGGAATGACAACACACTTCATGGCTACCTTCTCATCAAAAATGAGTGGAGGCAGAAGGCACAGGGCTACCACAGTCCAAGTACTGAAAAAAGTCAACCAATATTTCTATATCCACAAAGCTTCTTTTTTAAAAAAAGGGAAAATAAAAACATTACCAGATTTAAGAAGACAGAGAAGTTGTTACTTGCATATCTGCAGTGCAGAATATAATAAATAATTTCAAGCTTAGAGGAAATAACAGATACCAATATAGATACTAATATAAATGTAAAGGATTATATAAATTGCAATCCTTTTGGGTAAGTGTCTGTCAGAGGGTGATGTACTGAAAAGACTTGGTGTCCAGCTGATGGCGTGTGGAAACTTTAAAGAATAAAACTTGGTGAGAGGTCGTCCACCAGTGAGGATGTTTTTTAATGGGGAGAAGGGCTCCTGTTGGTCCTTTCATTTGGTTTCCTGACTCCTAATGTGAGCAGTTTGCTCCACCATGCACTCCTCCCACGATTCACTGCTTCGTGGAGGCCCAAAGCAGGAAACTACTCCATAAAGGACTAGAATGTTCACAACTGTCAATCAAAATAACCTCTGACTCTTTATAAATTAATTGCCTGGGTGTTTCATTACGGTACTGTTAAGCAGATCAACACAGTGTGCAACAATATGCTGCTTATAAGAGACACACTTTAGGTTAAAAAACACAAACAGGTTGAAAGGAAAAATGGATAGAAAAAGATCCAGCATGCAGTAACCAAAAGCAGATTGTATATACTGCTATCAGACAAACTAGGCTTTAAGGAGTACTTCCAGAGGAAAAAAGACCTATCAGATAGCAATTATAATGTATACACATTAATAAACCCTTAAAATATATAATGTAGAAGTTGATAAAATTAAAAGCAGAAATAAATATACCAACAATACCTTGGTAACTCCAATAGCCTATTCATAATAACTGATGAAAAACTAAACAGAAAGTCAATGAGTATATAGAAAACTTGAAGAACAATTTCCCTGATGTTTTGGAAATAATTTGACTTGATTTGTGTAGAAAAAATCCATTCAAAGACAGCAGAATCCACATTCTTTTCTAGTGCTTATGGAATATTTCCCATTGTAGACCATGTGCTAGACCACAAACAAGTCTCATAAGTTTAACATGATTAAATCCAACTATAAGGGAATTGAAAGTATCCAAAATATTTGAAATTGAACAAGATAGTACTCAGACACTAATATGCTAATACACTTCTAAATACTTAACGTTTTTATCCATACATCAAGAAAGAATGTGCAAAAGAAAATGTTTTGAATGGAATGAAATGAAACACATCTCAATAACTATGGAATGAAGGTAAAGCAGTGGTTAGAAATAAAAACTCTATCTTAAACACCCAGAGGAGTCTAAAATCAGTAATATAAGACTCCATATTAAGAAACTAGGGTCTGAGGATTTAGTTCAGTGGTGCCACCGCCTGCCTCATAAGCGCAAGGTCTCGAGTTCGATCCCCGATACCAAAAAAAAAAAAGAAAGAAAGAAACTAGGAATGTGAAAGCAAACTGAATTCAAAGTATGCTGAAGGAAGAAAATAAGGAGGATTTAAGTGCAAATCAATAAAATTTAAAAAAGAAAAACATCAAAATTAAAGCCAAACGTTATTTCTTTGAAATAATAATAAATTATAAGCTATTAGGTTCACCAAGAAAAGAAGAAGACAGACATGGTAACAAATTCATGAAGGCTGGGATTTAACACAGTGGTTCTGCTGCCTGTCTCTCAAGTGCAAGGTCCTGAGTTCGATCCCTGGTTCCAAAAAAAGAAAAAAAATTCATGACTGAAAAGAAGCTATAACGACTACTGTAGAAATTAAAAAACTATAAGGTTTTACTTTGAACAATAACTATTTTTAACAAATTAGATAACTCAGATGAAATAAATTCCTAGATACACACACATACAATAACACTGACTCAAGAAGAAAAAGACAATCTGAACATATCTACAACAAATTTAAAAATTAATTTATTTTAAAATCTCATGAAGGAAATCTGACCCTCAGAGGGCAAAGTGGTAGATTATATAAACAATGAAAGAATCCTTTACAAATCCTTTCAGAAAATAGAATACTTCTCAACTTTTTCTGTACGTCTCTCATACTGAACCTTAAGCCAGACAAAGGCATCAAAGGAAAATAACACAAAACAAAACAAGAGGTACAGACCAACACATTCCTCATAAACATAGTGGTAACATTTTCTTCACAAAATATTAATAGACTGAGATCAGATCACACACACTATAATCACATAGGTCTCATTACAGGCATATAAGGTTTGAAAATATTCAAAAATCAATGTAATCTACTATAGTAAAATAAAAACATTCATATGATCATTTAATAAATGGAGAAAAAATGATGAGATTTAATAGTATTAAGAAAAAATGCAGCAAGAAGGAATAAAAAGGAACTTCTTCAAGCTGATAAAGGCATCTACAAGAAACCCTAGAACTGGCACCATGCTTGATAGTGTAAAGAGTAAACATTTCCCCCCTGTGATCAGGAACACTTCCTTCACACTTCAACATTCTACTGGAAGCGCTGGTCAGTGTAATAAAGAAAAAGTATAAATTTATTATCTTTCATATCATCAGTTTATCCAACTACTTAAACAATTTCCAGAAGGAATGCAACTGTTTTATTTCTATACTTTAATACATATCAGAGGGGAAAGTAAGTTATGAAAGACAATGGTGATTTTTGTTTATGTTAATATTGAGAAAATGAAATCTGCACAAAAGTGATATAAACTATTGAAAATGTGGCAGTATTTAACATTTGTCTTTCAAACCTGTTGTATAGCTGGAATCAAACTAAGCAATGCACAGAAGCCAAAGGGACAGGGAAGACTGGAATCCTGGAATGTCGAAGATCTCTGAAGGCAGGTTTTGTTTACATTTCATTAGACCCTGGGAACCTAAATATCATTTTGTCAAGGTGCATAGTAGGTGAAAGACAATGCATTGGACCCTGTGGTAAGGGATAACAGGATGGTAACTGATTTTATTTACACAGAAGCCTTATAACAGGCTATGGCTTCAAAGAGGTGTATCTTCAGTGTGAGGGTAAGGGGAAATAAATCTTCACCAACAAGAAAACATGATGCCATAGCACATGCATTAGGCAGAATAAGAAACAACCTCCACAATATCTGTAATCACAAGCCACAAGAGACTTGTAGGTTTACAGGAAGCACTTACTATACCTGTAGGTCTGACCCATGTCAGGCCTTAAGATTTATGCTGAATTCATAATTTATGATGTTTAAACACTAAATATAAATTATATTACATTTTAAACTTATCTTAAAATACTTGTGGTAATGACCCCTGATGTCTGTGAAGTTAACTTTCTATTAATGACTTCCTGAGTTGCAGCAAACTAAAAGTTCCAAGGAATATGAACACACACACACACACACACACACACACACACACACGCATGCACACCAATAAATGCACAAGGAAACAAGGCACCAAAAGCACCACCTGAAAAGCAAAAGGCTTTCCCACAAAATTAAAAATGATGAATTTATCTGGAATAAAAGCAAATAATTTGTTTAAAAGAGTAAAAGCAGGCATTGAACACAAAATTAAAGAAACTAAGATAATGAACCAGATTTGAAAAAGAAACTGATACACCTTAAAAAGTGAGTTAACTAGTAGAAAAAATAAATGAACTCTTGGACATAGCAAAACAACTTATTACAACTTATCATATGAAGACCAAGAAATAAAAAATATAAGAGTTAGGAAACAGGTATAATATATACAATCTACTGTATATCTAGAAGCATGGATTAGTGAAAGGAAGAAAGAAATCATGGATAAATATTTCTCAGGTCTGTTGAAAGATACTGATCTTCAGATTCAGGAAAGCCAATAAATTGCAGGCAGAACAGATAGAAATAATTGCACACAAATATGGAAATTCTATTTTATGGTGAAAATGAAGAACCTCCAAACAATTAGCTGATAAAAACAGCCAGAGAAAGAGGCTGATTATATAACATAATGACAGTTATGCTTTCAGCTGACTTGTACTTTAGGATGTCAAAACCGAGATACTTCTGGAAAACATAAGTTATTCAATATTAAAAGAGCACATTCTAGATACAAGGCATTTTTGAGGCACAAATTGGAATTTTAGAGAAGCTATGACCTGAAAAGAATTTAGATGAAAAGTCTGAATTTGATGAAATGGTAGAGTATGATAAATAGGATTATAGAAATACACAAAAGCAAACATTTTGTATGGCAGATTCAACAAAGAGAAACTGGACTGGAGGGACTGCCTTCAAATAAGGATAGCAAATCTACATGAGGTAAGGAGAGCTCATCACAGCAGGAGAGGAGAGTGCCAATGAGAGACATTTCAAGGGAAATAGAGAGATAAAATATAAAAGAAAGGGCAGGCATAATATGGTTCCTAAGGAGAGCTTTCCGTTAGACAACTGAATGGTTAAGTACGAGCTTAGAAAATGCACATACTGTCTAACTCATCTGGATTAAATCACAGAAAACTTTTCAGTAAAACGTGGCTGCACTTCTCTCAACATCTTATCAGTGATTAAAATTTTTTTAAATAAAATAACTATTTCCTCTTATAACCTATAGGTATTATGTGGGCAAGTAGCACCATTACGGTGTTTTCCTGTTGAGTACAAACAATTCAGACAACATTAAATCAAACAAGGTCACTCCATGATGGTGATGGCATATAACAAAAAAACAGGCTTGCTCCATAATCACATTTAGACAAAGCAGAAACAAAAATACTATCCAGACACAAACTCTGAGAAACATCCCCCTCTGCAGAATAGTATGACCTTATCAAATGCATTTATTTTGCTCCATTCCTTCCCCTCCTTGATAACAAATCGTTAACATAAAGAGTCACAAAATTCTCCATTTTCTGATAGCACCCAATCTACAACAAAACATTTCCATTTAACCTCTCCAAAAAAATTAAATGTAAAAACCAATGTTCTCACACTGAGATGCCCACACTTCTTCAAGACATGCTCTCTTCCTCACTGAAGTGAAACAAAACTAAGATTGATCAGCCACTGTTGTATCCTGGGGTCTCTGGCTGGAGGATATCAAAGACTCTATATAGAAAAATTAGGCAGAAACCATTTGAACCAAGTGAACAATTAGCATTACCAGAACCAATATCTGATCCCTTCTGAGAAACAAGGCACTGGGAAGAACACAGCATCATATTTGTAATATTCCTGACAAAAAGCATCATCTAAATCTAATAATGAAGAAACATCAAAACACACTAAGGATATTATAAAAAATAAGTGCTGTATGTTTCTCAAAATCATCAATTTTGACAAAGAAAAAGACTGAGAAACCATAGCTCCTTTATAACGGCAAGAGAGACATGACAGCTGAGTGTAACACACGGTCCAAAATGACTGGGATGACTCTTACACCCTAGTAAGATGAACAGATGAGGTAACACTGAATTAACCTTAGTTTCCTGATTTTGATAATCATATTTTACTTATGTAAGATAATATCATTATTTCTACAAGATACACATTGAATCATTTAGTTGCAAAGAATATACATATGCAACTAAATGATTCAATGTGTATGTTATATGTTAAGATTATTTATAATGCATATGTGATATGATACACTAGATGGGGGACAAAACAAACATAAAATGCTAACCCTTGGGGAGTTTCGGTGAAGGGTATATGGAAATTCTTACTATCCTTGCAATTACTCTGTAAGTGTGAAATTACATTTAATTCTTACGAATTAGAACACATGTTCTACATAGTTCTTATAAACACTGAATTAGCAAAAAATGAAACGTTGCTCCTGGAGAAAATACAAGGAGAGGATCCCATGAGCCTGTGTTCACAACATTTTCATCAGTCAATAATAGTATTATTTTATTTTTTGTGTTTCTGTGTAATGGAAACATTTAATGTGAACTATTCATTAACACTGGCCAACAGCATTATAATTCATGACCAAATAAAACTTATCTCGTACATTTACAGTCTACTTAAAGAACATCATAGTCCTCTCTCAGGAGCCCTGACAGCACTCCAGCACACTATGCTCAGGGACATTTGAAGTGAAATCACTGCCATAAAATAAACAAAAAATGAAAAACGTACATTAAATAGATGGAAAAAGAACCCTGGCTTATAGCATGATAATGGAGACAAGAAGCAGAACATGACTTAGTTCGACCTCAGCTGGGAGTATGAGCATTGGGTCACTCTATGCATACTAGTGAGTAGCCCTGAAAACACCATGAGTACTAATTTTGGTTTTAGAAAAATTTTTAGCAAATGGACAAATTTACAAATATGGAATCTAGTAAAAATAGAGATTATTTCCCTTCTCCACTGTTTGTGAGAGTGCAGACTGGTGAAACCATTGTGGAAATCAGTGTGGAGATTCCTAAAAAAATTAGGATTATGTCCCATTTGACCCAGCTATCCTCTTCTGGGTATCTTTCCAAATATATGCGCTATATGTTTATAGTGACATAGTTTGTAACAGCTATATCTTGGAAACAACCCAAATGCCCATCAACCGATGAATGGATAAAGAAGATACCGTTTTTCTATACAATGGAGCACTACTCAACCATAAAGAAGGATAAATTTGAGACATTTATAGCTAAATGGCTGCACTTTGAAGCTATACTCTTAAGAAAAAATAAACCAGACACACATGTAAATATTGCATTGTCTCTCTGGTGTAAGAAATTGAAAATGTAAATAGGGAAAATGTATAACAGATAATGTGAAATAAAAAATCACTCAAGAGGGGAGAGGGGGAAAGGAAGGAAGGAAAAAGAAAAGAAATGAGAAAAGAAGGAAAAAATGGAAACAGGCTTTTGTAAATAGGGAAGGGGAAGAGAGGTTGAAGGGAAGGGAGGAGAAGGGGAAAAAAAGGAATCAAGATACATCATGCAAAGGTACAAATTCCCTATGATAAATACGATCATTATGTAAATCTAAATTGTACCAATAAAATTAAAAATGACTAAAAACAGACTATTTAAATAAACAGCTAAATATATTTTCTATCAAGAAGACTAGAAAAATGGTAGTAAAACAAAATGAATTGTGGTCAATGGGTATACTATTTAACTCAGGATATTATAGATTTGACAGCTTGACTCAGAAACGCCATAGAGATGTCTGGAAATCAAGGAGTTGATGACAGCCAAATCAGAACAGGAGAAGTTATGCGAATCACTGGTAACATAGCAGGTATTTGAACTCTGCAAAAGGAAAGCCAGATTTTGTGGCTAAACCATAACGCATATAAGGACTAAGCAATTATAAGGAAGAAAGGGAGAATCAAAGCTGCTGTACCAGGAATGGGCCACAGTGAAACCTGTCTTCATTTTGGCATAGATTATCAAGACATATACTAAACTAAAAGTAACATCTGAAAGGTTACAATGAGACAAGTTTAACTTACAATGACAGGAAAATTTGACTCATTATGAGCTTTCCATGCGGACTCATTAAGAGCTTCTATGAGATTTGACATTCATAGAAGTATTCAAGTAAGGGTTTCAGGATCATTTACTTGAATCAAAGCATCTAGAATGTGCTTTGGACGATCTTTCTAAACCTGTCTGGTTCAGGTGTTCTATGCCTAATTTTTTGCTGACTCTCTTTTTTAGTGTCTGAAAAAATGATTTTTGTATGTATTACTAGTCATGAAGCAGATCTGGTGTTATCCTTAAACATAGTCAAACCTATTATGTCAGTCAGTTTTCTATCACCACAACAAAATACCTGTGCATAACAATTTAAAGGGGAGGTTTATTTTGGTTCATGGTATAAGGAATCAGTCCATGGTTTCTTGGCTCCCTTGTTTCTGGACT